AGGTGAGTTTCTTTCTTTTAAACATCCGAGATGCAAAACATTCAGCTAATTTAACAAATCATTCGCTTTAGGACATCCCGTTTCGTTATTCCTCCCGTGAACGATCAGTTTGCGGCCCCTGTTCCCACATGTGGTCCATACGTTTTCCCAGCCTTCCAAAATCAACTGTGGCTTCCACAAGCAAGATTTACCCGACCAGATTCGCCAGCGGAATCACAACTGAGCCCATACCAAAGTGCTAGTGCAAGTGGTGTTGGTGAAGGTCCGGGGGTTAAAGATTCCAGCAAAGATACCAGTGCTAAAGGTCGCTCCCCCAACTGGTCGGATGCAGCGAAACGTTTTCTGATCGCTATATGGAAGGATCATCATCCGATCAACAAAAGGCACAACTCAGCTGTGTGGGAATCCATTGCCAGAGAGGTGAATAGTCTGTTGAGGGATCAGGGACTCACGTCTATTCGCACGGCAGCCCAATGCAAGGCTAAGATAAAGAATCTCGAAGACGAATATAAACGTGTGAAGGATCACAACAGCAAAAGCGGAAATGGCCTTGAAACTTTCACGTATTACGAAGAGTTAAACGAGATACTGGGTTGCCGAGCCAAAATTACGCCAAAAACCGTTGTTTAACGTGGTTTCGAAGACAGCAACTCGGCAATTCCTGGACCATCACTGGAAGAGTTATCCGAGTCCGGTGACGACGAGAGTATCAGGGATGGAGAGGAGCAGACTCTTTCACGGGCGCTTTTTAGACGTGAATCAGCTGCCAAAAAGGGCAAAAAACGCTTGGCTACAACGCCAAATTGATCCAAACAAAAAGGCCAAAAATCTGCCACATCTGCTGAATCCGGGGATGAAGACCTAACATTTTCCGAATCACTTTTTTTCAAGACTACACGTGAAAGCGATGGAAGCCAGGCTGAAAGAAGGCTAGTTCATCAACCCAACCTCCAGTTAGAAGGTCCAGAAAAACGGAATCGAGTGGCAACGCAGAATATTTTGCCTTCTTAAATAAAAGCCAAAAACGCGACCACGAATTTTTTGAAAAGCTGGCTGAAAAGGAAGCGGACAGGGAAATGAAAAGCCAGCAAATGATGTTCTCCATGAAAGAGGTCGCAAGATCTTTAAGGGAGAGTAAAGTACACGTGAAACTCTTTAATATGGACAAATATAACATCAATTCCAGAACAACCACTTTGTTTTTAATATCGTTTCGTTTATATTAGAATGATTTTAAAGTTTAAAGCTCATGATATTTTGACTAATTCGTTATTCCAATCATTTTTAAACTTATGCGAATATTTTTTCTTATAGGAGACATATGTAAGATATGAAATTATTTCAATTGAAAAAAAGCAAAAAGAAATCACTATCATGATCATCTTGTCAAAATTAATTTGTTGAAGTAACTGAGCACCAAGATAAGTCTGATTTAAAGGTGTCCTTACTGAAATCACTTTTCTTGAATTTATCACATTTCAAGCAACGAAACTTCTGATTAAGGCTTCACATTAAAATAAGTTAAATAACAATAACATTTTCTCAAAATTTTGTTGATTTATCTGAGCACCAAGGCTATATTTTCTTTGCTGAAATGATGGTCAAAGGTACTCCTTTTGGATAGTTTTGTTCATTAAATATGCATTAGTTGCTAAAAAAGGCTTCCTTGATCTTGTTCTTTAGCTGCGAACCTTCGGGATTCATTTGACCTGGAAGTGGGGGAAGTTCGTCTGGATCATCATCCTCAGGGTCCACATCCACATCGTCGCGAACTTCAATGCAGATATTAAGCAAAATACAGCAGGTTATAATAGTCAGCGGTATCTTGTCCACCGATTCGTCAAGTTTGACTAGGAGACAACGCTATCTCCCCTTCAGCAGTCCAAATGCCTGCTCTATAACCACCCTAGCCCTACTTAGTGCTTTGTTAAAGTTACGTTGACTAGGATTGATTGCTCTTGTTTCAGCATAGGGCTTCATACACCAATGAGTAAGTTTGTACGCGGGATCAGCTACCAGAAGGGGCCTTATTTCTTCGCCAGTCCCAGTACGAGTAACGGGAGATACTAGTATTGTCCCATCTTCCACTTCGTTGACGTGAACTCATGCGGAGAACCCTTACATCATGAATACTTCCTGCATAACCAGTGCTCA